GAGGAGGGGAGAAGAGTGCTCCCTGATGAAAGGGGAGAGGAAGGGGAGGGGAAGGGGAAAGAGAAGGGATGGAGCATGGGAGGTATCTTGACTTTTGCATCTACCAGGAAGGGAAGTATCGCTCCAAGGAGGATGTCAGGAAGTCTGGAGCGGACCCCGACTCGCTGGCTACAGTCACGCACATGGAGGACCAGGAGATGCAAAGGTATCGGATCGTTGACAACGTGGACGCCTTGGGGGGTGAAGAATGGAATCGAATTGTCGCAGTGTTTGTACAGGTGAGGGACTTGAGTCGATCCCATGCGTCGTGTTGTCTTCCTCGCCCCTCTCTCTTCCTCGCCCCCTTTCCTCTCCTTCCCTTCCTGTACGCCCTCCTTCGCCACCCTTCAACCTCCCCCTTCACTTTCCCCTTCCACTCGCCCCCTTCCTCCTCCTCACTTTCATCCCCCCCCTCCCTGCCCTTTCCCTCTCTCCTCCATCCTCTCCGCCCTCTCCCTTCATGACGCCAAGTGAAGGGGTCAGACTGGCAATTCAAGAATCCGAAGTGGAACTCAATAGGGGGGAATGTGAGCCGGCCGGGCTGTCGGCGACCGGGGCGCTGACGTGGCGCAGATCACTGGACTCTTCAATCGGGTCTCAGGATTTCACCTGATCTACTCGAAAGATCCAGAGCAACCGAACATCAAGAAGTGGAACGTGAAGGTGCAGGGCGAGAGGAGCTGAGGGTTGTGGCTGACACTGCGGCAGAAACTGACCATCGACAGGAACCTCAGGCATCTCGATGCTCAGGTGAGCGATGGGTGATGGTGGAGAGTGTTGGAAGGAGGGGCAGAGGCAGGGGGAGGAGCAGAGGGAGGAGGGAGGAGGGAGGAGGTGCAGACGAGGGAAAGATTGATGGTCATGGCAGGCGATGAATCAATTTTGGGAGACGTTGAAGCACAACAACAGGCTGAGCAGTCAGGTTGGAGTCGGGTTGAGGAGCTGCGTTGAAAGCTGACTGTCTATCAAAAGCTGCAGGCAAGGAGCAGCGCAGGAAGAGCATGAAGGAGGAGGAGGAGGAGGAGGAGGAGGAGGAGGAGGAGGAGAAGGAGGAGAAGGAGGAGGGAGGGAGGGAGGGAGGAAGGGAGAAAATGAAGAATCCGGGCTCACAGATGGCTATGTTCACTTAAAATTGGGAACTGAAATTACAATCCTACATCCACATTCTTCTAAGAAAATGCGAAAGGATAGCTCGCCTATGACCACGACGTAGGAAGATAGGGAGCTGGAGGATAGGGAGGTACGCAGGTTGGGGGTAGGGGACTGGGATTTTGAGCATGTACTCTGTCGACCAGCCCTCCTCTGCGTCCCTCCATCTTCTCCTCCTTCCTCCTCCCTCCTTCTTCTCATCATAGTCTAGCCCCCTCACCCCCTCATCTCTCTCTTTCCTCCTCCTCCTCCTCCTCCTCCTCCTCCTCCTCTTGCGCCTTCAGTTCTCCTCCGTGTTTGTCCGCGGCTTGTGCTCTTCCTCGTCGAGGTGGCTCCAGAGTGGCGCGAGCTCGAAGTTGCGCCGCTGGAGCCTCTTCTTGAGGACGAAACTCCACAGGCCATACAGGGAGCCCAGCACGATGAAGACAATGCTCTGAGGCAAGATCAGACGAGGAGGGAGGGAGGGAGGGAGGGAGAGGAAGAGAGCGATAGAGGGGAGGGAGGGAGGGGAGAGGGAGAGAAAGGGGTGGAAAGGTGATCTCACCATAGCGAGAGCGAGCGCTTGTGCAGCGGAACCATCCTTTTTGCCGAGCTGGTTGACATCGGTGTCGGAGGAGAGTGTGTTGACGCGGGTGCAGGAGGCTGGGGGGAGGCGACTGACGTCGAGGAGGAAGGAGAAGAGGAGGGTCCGCTGGTAGGGGTTGTAGTTGTCGTCGGAGACTATCGCGAACTCGATCTGGCCCGGATTGCCGGCTCCCGGCAAGACCGCGAGGCCCTCGAAGTTGTCCACGTTGTGCTGGGAGTTGTTGAGCTCTGCAAGGAGCGAGCCGACCATGACGCACTCGCTGGGGTTCTGCTGGGCGAGCAGCAGGACTTCAGGGCTAAGATGCCGAATCCTCAGGATGTTTCCTGCTCTTTGACGTCAGAGAGGGGTTAAGAGAGGGAGAGAATTGGCGGGAATGGTGTCAAGGAGGAACAGCAAGAGTAGAACAGCAAGACGAGCAAGGGGGAGTGAAGGTATCAGAGGAGACGATCGAGCAGAAAGAGCGGGAGCAGGAGCAGGAGCAGGTGCAGGAGAGGTAGAGGCGGGGAAGGCGGGAGTGGGCAGGAAGAGGAGGAGGACCTGTCGCTGCGCTCCAGAACCTCTCAAGCACAAGGAGATCTTCCTTCCCCGGCAGTCTGGCCATGGCGACCGGCCGAAGACCGTCCTCCACTTGGTAATACACGAGAGAGAAGTTGCCGTCAAAGCTGTAAATCTGCATCATCGTCATCGCTATCATCATCGTTCTCCTCCACATCATCGTCGTCATCGTCGTCATCATCATAATTCTTATCATCATCATAATCAGCAGCAGCAGCAGCAGCAGCAGCAGCAGCAGCAGCAGCAGCAGCATTGTCAGTCCTCTCTTCTTACCCATCCAGGCACCATCTCCTTATCTGCCGCATCCGTCAGCCCATCACACTACCAGCAGGACCCACTACCAGCATGCAAGAAGATGTCCTGGACCGGGTCCTCGCAGAGGAGCAGCAGCCTGTCATGCAAGTATGAGATGACATTGAGCCCCCCGCCCCTCTTCTCCCTCTTCCCTTCCCTTCCCTCCCTCCCTCCCTCCCTCCCTCCCTCTTCCCCTCCCTCCCTCCCTCCCCCCCTCCCTCCTCACACATACCTGCCATCATGCAAGAACTCCATCGCCTCCACCCCTCCGTTGGGCTGGCAGATGTGCGTTGGAATCTCTTCAGGATCAAGATTTTTCGGGACGGTCGGGACTCCAAGGATGGAGGAGGAGGAGGGTGCAGGGGGGTATCTGCAGCAGTGTCGTCAGGAGGGAGACGCTGCCGGAGAACAAATCAGTTCCTCCAAACTCGATGGTTGCCTTCGAAGCTTATGAAGACGTCTCCCTGAAGAGGAGACGTATGGTTCGAGACGGCGATGCTCTCCGCGTCACTCCAGGCCTTGTTCCCGTGCTCGAGCACGCTCCCATCAAGGTTCAGCAGAGGAGCTATCCTCCCGTTGCTCACGCCCGTCAGCCACCCGTCCTCGTAGAGCAGCGTGGCGGACATGACCCATCCCTCGTCCGAGATAGCGACAACTCCTGCCTCCTGCGACAGGCGGAGGCCGGACCATCCTCCGAAGCCACCCACGGAGGACCTCAGCGCAAGACCTCCTCGAAACTGCAGCATGCCGACTGACTGGCTCGTCGGTGGTGGGCAATTTGCGCCCTTGCAAAGCGGTACAGGAGTGCACGTGAGGTCGGACAGGTCCTCCATCCAGGCGACATGAAGTGAGCACAAGGCAAAACTCCAGAGGAGGACAAGCTCGTTGCATCTCCTTGAAGCCCTCGACATGACAAGGAGAGTGGGGCAAGACAGCAGAGGCAGCTAACTATTGCAAGGAGTGAGAAGACTCCAGGACAAGTCCAGCACGGCTGTGTGCAACAGCAGCAAGGAAGAGAGCAGCTATAAAGCTACTACCACAACAGCTTCATCCCTGCCCGGCTTCAATCAGCTCTAGATAAACTTCGTTCCTCTCTCTCTCCCTCCCTCCCTCCCTCCCTCTGTGTGTTTGTGTTGTGTGTCTTCGTCTCTGTCTCTCTCTGTCGCAAACGGAGGAAAAGGAACCTTGCAAATCCGCCTCAGGAAGATACTAGGAAACGGAGGAGGCAGCAAAAACCGCCACTCCAACCACAGCGGCAAGCGACGGCACTCGCGGCATGCACGACAAAAGCTGCCTAACCGGGTAGCTCAACTTAGCCCCTGAGGGGAGGACGGCAAGAACCATGCGAGAGCGATACTGCCGAAACAGGCGAGCACGCAAACGATGAAGGCCCGGCCTGGGTCCCCGGCGCGGCCAACTTGGCAAACTTGTCAACCGGGTACTCAGGCGAAGAACTTCGCCTTCGCCGCCGGTGGTGATGGGTGCCATAGCTCAGTTGGCCGCGCCGCGCGTGGGGCCATCATCGCTAGCCTTGTACGTGGGACCGGGTGTGGCGCAGTCCCTGCTCAGTGATGAAGCTTCGTGACGCTTGTACCGCCGAGATCGTGACTTGCTTGTTAGCATTTTTCGCTGCCTCCTTCGTTTCCTAGTGTCTTGTTGAGGCGGGTTTGTAGGGTTTATCCTTGTTTGCTCTGGTTTGCCTCTTTTTTTTTTTTTTTCAGTCAATAATAACCAGAAATTCTCCATAAACTGTGAGACCTTTGAGTAAAAAACATTTGGCGCGCAAAAAACCATGTCGTCGTCGTCGTCGTCGCAGCAGCTGCAGGCGGCGAGGAGGGAGGAGAGCGATTCCGTGGAAGAGCAGCGAGAAACCAAACGACTCAAGGTGAGTACCGAGCTCAGCAACGACGCCCATTCAACGACTGCAGCGGAGGTAGAGCGGGCGCGGGCGGAGCTGAATGAGGCTCGCGCAAGCAATGACCAAGAGCAGATAAACGCAGCAAAGGAAGAGCTTGCGCGGGCGGAGCTCAAGGCAGAGGTAGGGCTTGCGCGGGCGAATGTAGACGCGGCGCTCGCAAGCAAGGACAGAGCGCAGATAGCCGGAGCAAAGGCAGAGCTTGCGCGGGCGGAGCTCAAGGCGGCGCGCGCAAGCAAGGACCACGAGCAGATAACCGCAGCAGAGGCAGAGCTTGCGCAGGCGCAGCTGAAGGCAGAGGTAGAGCTTGCGCGGGCGGAGCTCAAGGCAGATGTAGAGCTGGCTCGGGCGGAGCTCAAGGCGGCTCACGCAAGCAAGGACCACGAGCAGATAACCGCAGCAGAGGTAGAGCTTGCGCGGGCGGAGCTCAAGGCAGAGGTAGAGCTGGCTCGGGCGGAGCTCAAGGTGGCTCGCGCAAGCAAGGACCACGAGCAGATAGCCGGAGCAGAGGTACAGCTTGCGCAGGCGCAGCTGAAGGCGGCGCTCGCAAGCAAGGACGAAGCGGAGATAGCAATGGCGAAGGCAAATGTATCAAGGGCGGAGCTGAAGGCAGAGGTAGGTCTCTTGAGGGCGCAGCTGAATGCAGTGCTCGCAAGCAATCACGAAGAAACGATAACTCAATCAAAGCTAGCCTTGCGCATCGCTGAGTCATCGCTTGCAAGCATCCGTGCATCTACACCTCTGCGGGTGGATGTTCTAGGTAATCTCTCTTTGCTGAGCCCATGTGCGTCCATGGCGAGCATTGTGTGAAAGTGTATCTTCAACAACGTGTGAGAAGCAGCTCACTGAACTATTTCTTGCAGTCATGCATGCAGTCTCTGAGAAATATCCCTTTGAGTTGGAGAAAATACTTGAAGGCCTGCGGATGTGCATAGAAAAATCGCTGGGATCAAAAGCTAGGTCGTTGAGCGAATCAAACCCAATCGACAAAGTAGTAACCGATAGTGCGGATCGAGCAGCTTGTACAGTCTCATGCATGATTGAGGCCTGCTCGGGAAGCGGAAAATCGTTGTGTGCGGCAGACTACTTCGTACGAAACCCAAAGACCTCACGATATTGCTTGTTTGGATACACCCAGGAACAGGAATTATATCTTCAGGTGGACAGTATCTCGCAGCTCATCAATGTAGCAATCGATCTAGACCTCCAAGCGTGTGATCAGAAGCTTGCATTTGATAAACCAGATGAGTGCAAGGTGAATGTTTTGGATATTGATCTTCTGGAATCCAGTTGGAATATTCTTGGTGCACTCGGATACCTGTTTGGGAAGACTGAAACTGTAGCCAAGGTGACGTTGCAGCATGCAAAGAAGTGGACAAAGGACAAGGACTTGTGGCTGCTCGTCGATGAAGCGATACCGGGGTATCAGGATACCACCGACCTTGTAAACCCAATCGCTCGACTGGTCTTCTTCAAACTTATTCTTCGTAATGCAGGCTTTAATACTATCATGCTGGGGACAAACACTCTGGTGATGAATTTCAACAAAGCTTTGCGACAGACCGACAACAGCCGAGGTCGGAACCTAGAGCATTTAGTGTGTATCACCCATCGAGCGCTTCCTCCGATGATTTTACAATCTGAAAAGCAGCATGCTTTGCTCAGGAGTTTGTTTGGGGAGGAGCAGTGCAGCTTGTTTCTCGACAACGTTAACCCATGGCTTTGCAATCAGATGTTGAAGGGCTTCAAGGGCGCCACGGAAGAGATAAAAGACCGCGCAGATTTGTTTCGAGATCTGGCTGGTCCAGTGTTGGCAGAAAGGCGTAAAGAAAAGAAGAATCTCAGCGATGCATCGTTGTATTGTATGTTTCAGATTGCAACGCACGATGCCATTTCCCAGGCACACATCATGCAAGGGTTCGGTCTCTTGAACATCTGGCCACAAGGCGAAGTCCCTGCACGTGGTAGTCCGGGGTCAATCATTGATCTTGATCGGCGTGATGACAAGATTTACATGATGAATACAGATATCCACAACATATCCTGCAGGTTTCCTCCGGCCTGGGCCGATCCCATCACTACAGGGATTTGCGCTGGTGGCGGAAGACCTTTTCGCAATTTAGCATCAGGGCTCGAGGTGTTGAGGAGGATTCACCAAGATACTGTCAAGCCCAGGGAGGATCCCACAGCAGTAGATGCAATGCGTAGAGGCGGGAATGTTCTCGAATCGTTTGGGGCAGTCGTCCTTATGTTGACAAGCTGGGCCAAACCAGAGGACATTCTATCGACTCTCAGCTATCATTGTGGACGAGAAGTGAAGAGCACAGTGACGCAGGTGCTTGCTGCCGTGGATGACAAGGAGGCTGCAGAGCAGTTCCGGCAAGTTTTGACGAGATGTTTGTGTAATCTGATCCCCTTCGTGACGA